TGACGAAAAGTCGGGAAAACCAGGAAGGTTAGCAGATATGTCATGAGAAGAAAAATATTTAATGACTCTTAAAAATATCAAAAGATAATCTAATGGGAGTAATCATCTGGAACTCGATGTCTTAACCCTGTCTTCGTTCTCTCGTTGCATATTCATAATTGCTGCATCTAATTCTTTACTTCATTGTATAACAGGAAGAATTTTATGTCTCGCCATCCGCATGATTTCACAAAATGTTGCAAAGATGCCAGATGTGTAACATGTATACGAGCTAGTTTCCCTTAGAGCTAGTTTCCCTTAGGGAAGGGATTCCTCCACAAAGGAATCCTTAGGCAGATAGCTGGTTGAGTGCTTTCCCATAACTAAATAAACCAAACCAAACTAAAAAGATGCAGGTACTTAATTTTATGCGAGTCCGCGACTGTTTGAAAAGATTACCCTTGCATGGGTGCCCTGATAACCTTGATGAGCACTGCTTTTTTCACGACACTGAGCTGCACAAGAATCCCGCTATACTTGTGACTTTATGCAATGGCAACTTAATTCTTAGCGAACGACGGACAACTTGGAAAATGTGGCAGCACTTTTACATAAGTTCCCGTACTGTTTACACCAACCTCATCCGCCTGTAAACTCCAGGCATTACACTGTATGAATTTTTCTTCTGGATATGTGTAAAAGAACATGTTTTTTCTCGCCCATTAACCATTAACTTCGATGATACCTAAAATATTTACCTTTACGTAAGTTAACGTACTGTTTACACCAAACTCGTTCGCCTGTAAACTTCAGGCATTACGCTGTATGAGTTTTTCTTCTGGATATGTGTAAAAGAACATGTTTTTTCCGCCCATTATCCATTAACTTGGATAATACCTAAAATAAAATCGCAACTGCATTGAGTATCGTCGGCCGCCCACGTGCAAATTAAAACTGACCACTTTTTCTGCAGCAATATAATATTCTTGCATTTATTTCCTTTCACCAGTTGTTACGTTACGCACAGGGTTCGTGTGGATTTGGAGTGAATAACGAGAACAGCACTTGATAAAGTATCGAAACACACTTTATTGGCCGGTATTAATCAGAACAGCTCCAAAATCTCGTTTACAGTCGTCGAACTGTTATAAACACGCTGGCACGATCAGCGACACAGGTTATCAAGCTATCACGGTGGAGGCAGCTTCACTGCAAAGCACCAGAGTATAGCCCCCGATTCTGCTTGGTCGTTCTCCGAATTCCACGTACTCTCGAGACTCTCCACGCTAGAACTCGCGATGCATTCGACGACACACAGAGCACAGCTCCCGACTGTTCGGTTCAGTCGTTCCCGGAGCTCAACACGCTCTCTCGACGATGCGCTAACCGCGTGCACTAAGAGACTCTTTGATGCACTCGACGACCCACTCGGCACTCGCTGACGGACTGTCAATTAGATCGACTTCTCACGGACTGACTTGCTAGACAAGACACCAACTAACTTACTGCGGACCAGGAGGGTTTATATAGATTTTGGCTTGTGTTCGAGAACATTCTGGGCTAAACTGGTAAAAATTCGTTCCAGAAGGTTCTCAATCCGTCCATAGCATATCGCCAATTGTGTCGTCAAATGGGCGATTTCTCGCCAAATGTGGCAACTCTGCCTTCCCTTGCCATTTTATGGCAACCCTAAAACTACTTTGCGAGGAAGCCATCTTACTGCGCCTGTACATTTCGTAAGAATATGTTTAATAATAATTTCGCCGGCCTTAAATTTGGGCCGCTCACGTCCTGTGCACCATTTTGTCCCCCCCCCGCTTGGATCGGTTCTGTCTGCAGCAATGCATACGAAGGGAGACTCTGACGCGTTTGGAACAAATTCAACAAATAACTTAAAGCTGTCTATATAGCAGGTAAAGAACACATAGAATATTTATATTTACAATGAGTGAAACTTGAGAATTTACTTTATAGTTTATTATTAGTTTTATAGTCGCAACACAGTTTCATTTTAAAATATAATTTGTGGAAATCGAATCATTCATTTTTAAGCATTTTGTACACAAAATTGCTAACGTTTTAAATGTAAGCGGATTTGGCATGCACACAGGCAACAGCAACACCGCTTACCTGTCATTTGTTACACAACTTTGCATTATCATTTATCAAGAAGCCGATTTCGTAATCATTTTCGAGTTGTTCCGATATACCCTATCTGAATTGTTATGTTATATGTTTGTTATGTTGTTATGTTGTTTGTTTATTTGTTATGTTGTTTGTTTATTTGTTATGTTGTTACATATATTGTTATATGTTCACCGTTGTCCGGAGTCTAAATTCTGACACAGATTACGAATAAATCGAATAAAGTCATAGAATGTTGTAAGTTTTGTTTTCCTCTTCAAATAGCGCGTGCTCATAATTTGAATTTTATGCGGACTGGTCGAGTCATTCGAAATAATTTATTGTTTCCAGACAAATAAAAATCAAAATGTTGCATATTTTTCTAGCGTGACAATCAAAGAATAATTTAGTACATGTTGTTCGACGTCTGTTTTTCATGAAATTTATTTTCAAAAGTATTTTTAGAGAACGACTGCATTTAAATCAGCTTTATGACCTGACGTAGCAAAACTCCAAGCATATTTATTTGAAATTTTAGTTTTTCCGATTTCACCGATCATCATACACTATCCTAAACTTTACGCTCTTTCATATTTGTCAGAGTAATATTACTCTGCTAAAATTCAACTGCAAGCTTTTCTTAAATTTTTGCCCGTTGCATTAATTTTGAATTATATAACAAGCTACGGGAAAAATAACGAATATTTATAGTAATATAATAGTGTGTGAAGTGATGTGAAGTGAGTGAACTCATTTAAAGTGATGTGATTAAAGGAACGAGGCCCTGTGGCGCAGTGGCTGGCGCGTCGCGCAGCAGCACCGCAGGTCCGGGATTCGATCCCCGGGCTGAACAAGGTTGACTCAGCCCTTCATCCCTGGAGTGGGCCCATAAAATGAGCACCAAATTCGCTTGAGGACCAAACACCGGGGGTCCTGCGACAAGCTGACCAGTTGTCCAGGCTAAGATATACAAGCAGCTCGGAACCCACGGATTAGAAAGCAGATTTCAAAACGCTGCTGACCATGGCTCTATATGGACTGTGTGTGCCGCCGAGTTTAGTTTAGTTTAGTTAGATTAAAGGAATATTTTTCTTTCCATCGTACTTTATTTCAACAAAAGATTAAATGGTATGAAACATCCTGTGTTCCATCACTAGAAAAAGAGCCTGTATTTTGTTTCCCAGAAATGTTTTTATTCTTTGAAAATAAATCAATACTTTTTTCTTCCAGCGGCATTTAAATATTAATTTTTTTTAATTACCGAAACATGTACACAGTTCTATTTCAGCGAAAACAAAACGGTGGATGGATTTTATTTACGCAGACCATCAAGCTAAATATGTAATCATGTTTTTATTTTGTAATACTGAAAATAAAGAGCAGAACACTCTATTACACATTTCTATTCTTATAGGTCATAAATGTTAATCGAAAAGAAATTTCGATTAACATTTATGACCTATAAGGTGGCGAATGCCTTAAAACATCTTTGATATGCATCCGAAATAATTCAATAGTTTCTCAGAAAGAATGTAGCGCATTGTATTTTGTGAAGCGCATTTAAAAAAATAAATAAATAAATAAAATGCAGTCGAAAACAGGAAAATAAGAAGTTTATGTTGCAATAAAAGAATGGCCGACTCGAATCAACACACCTTCTGTAAGGAAGTACCTACTATATATTCTTACTATGCGGGTGTATTACTTAAGCTAACTTCTTCGAGAGGAGCCAGCGGACTCCTCTTACAGAAGACAGAGACTTATAGCTCACGTTCGGACAACTGTCTTAAAAACATAAGGGACATATGTCTTAAAAACATATGTGCTGTAAAGACATTAGGTTATTTCGAAGCAGGAGACATGAAAAATGACAATGCCCTTGCCGGGACTCGAACCACGGACCTCTCGAATACGTGTCGAGCTGACCACTACACTACGAAGGCATACTAAGAAGGCGGGAGACATACCTTATATACTCCCCCTTTAAAAAAAAAGGGCGGCTGAAGATTAAGGGACCCAATCGCCAAATCCTGGTGGTGGAGAATCATCATCCACCACCTTTTTTAGTTCGTCGCCACTGTAGAGACATTATGTTATTTCGAAGCAGGAGACATGAAAATAAACAATGGCCTCGCCAGGACTTGAGCAATGGATCTTTCGAATACGCGTTGAGTGGGCTGACTACACTATACGAAGGCATACGAAGAAGGCGGGAGAAATACCTTATAGCGTAAGCACGGCTTTTCAACCACACAGGCACACAACCTGTGTGTTGAAAAGCACGTCTTTTCTAAACAGTGGATGGATTTTCACGGTTCCTGGATGGTGGATGGATTTCCTGTGTGTTGAAAAGCACGGCTTTTCAACACACAGGTTGGATGTGTATCATAGGAGGTTGTGATTGCAAAACCACTCATATGTTATTAACTGCACCGTGGATTATTTTTCATTTGAATGTGGTCTAAACGAGATAATTTCCGACACGTTTTGCAAAAGAGATATCCCCAGCGAAAACCGATCGGTTCAAAAATGGATCTTACAGACAGACGCGTTTCGCGTGCTTTGCTTCCGTTTGATTATATTACTTCTCCATTACACTGAGTTTGAATACTTGCAATCACTATCTGTTTTATTGAATGTGAAAACACAAACGTTACTGGAATTTTTTTAAAAATTTTGTTACATAAAATAATGATTTTATAGAATTTTTCGTTTTATGATAAAATTATGGCCTTCAGATGAGAAAGCTCGGTCAAATGTAAAGAACTAAGTTGATTAGCATTACATTATTGCCAACAATAATAAACCGGAACCTCTAAAATGTTAAAGCAAGTGTCTCGAATGAATGTTTTGGTATTTAAACAGTCAAAAATAGAGAACTGAGTATTTTTCTTTACCTGTCTGCGGGTTCTTCTACTGTAACAGGCCCTCCAGAAGTTGACTGATAGTTTACTACTTCTTTTGAAGCGAGAGCGTCTGCCATCTCGCTTGTTTTCTCCTCAGTTTCCGAATCCGATTTCATTTGTTGTCTGGATCAAGCTTCCTGTAATAGAAGTGTCTCTTATTACGTCTGGCATTTAGTAATCTCATAATCATCTTAATGCTATGAAGTAATCCATAATTTCTAATACATATTTTCATGGTTAGTAGCCCGGAGGAAAATACTCCTGTTGATAAGCAAAATAAGATATAGTCGCTAAATATTCCTGGCCTAAATAAGAGACCTGAAATACTATATCATGTAGAAAGGAAATGAAACAATCCCACATCAATATCATACTCGTATCGTATTTCAGTATTAAAAAAAAAAAAAAAAAGAGAGAGAGAGAGAGAGAGAGAGAGAGCGCAGAAGAAACGTCTTACTTTATTAACTTGCAGAGCCATTAGGTTATATCGATGCTGGAATGTGAAAAATGTGCATTGCTCTCCGCGCGATTCGAACGCTACACCTCCCAAATTATCATCGAGGGTCTTTCCAGTTACACCACGAATGCGCACAGAAAGGTGAGAGAAAATACCTTATATACCCTCTCTCTTAAAGAGCTACTGGGGATTAGAGGACCTGGTCATCAAATCATGATGGTGACCAATTGTCGTGCCCCACCTTCTTTTACACTATGTCCATAAATTAAGGATAATACAAAATCAGGCAAAGGAAGAGTTAGAAGCAAAACAAATTTGATTTATTTATAAAGCTTATTTATTAAACAAAAGTAAAGAGTAAAAAAAAATGCTATATGTTTGATATTATTAAAAAAAATTTCGATTTTTTCTTCCTGGAGCAAATTACAAAAAAAACCTATTTACAAAAAACCAATATTACGTGATTGGTATGATTGTTAATACATTGTATGTCTCCCACACGATGCGATACAGTCCGTACAACGCCTAGGCATGCTGAGTAATAAATTATCGATCTGATCTTGGGAAATATTACACCACTCGAAAAGCAATGCTCTCCGAAGTTCCGGTAGACATGTAGGAGGGGGTTGACGGGCTGAAACTCGTCGTCCAAGCATGTCCCACACCTGCTCTACTGGATTTAAGTCTCGTGAGAATGCTGGCCAGTCCATACGGGTGATATCCTCCGATTGAAGGCATTCGCTTACGATGTTTGCACGGTGAGGACGGGCGTTGTCATCCATAAACACAAATTGTGCGCCCATGGCGCTTCGAAACAAACGTACATGTTGTTCCAGAATGACGTCCCGATAGATTTGGCCTGTCATGGTTCCAATTTGAACATGCAGGTCAGTTCTGGAACCCAGATTAATTCCACCCCAAACGAGCACTCCTGCACCACCGTAACGGTGTCTTTCAATGATGTTTTCTTGGTGGTAACGGGTACCTGGAGATCTCCATATGAAAGTCCGGCGAGAATCAGACTGCAAGCTAAACCTGGATTCGTCGGAAAACACAAGCCCACTGTGGCGGTGTCCACAATGCATGCTCTCTACTCCAGGCTAACCGCAGGCGACAGTGAGTTGCAGTAAGTGAAACGCATCTGACAGGTCTACGAGTATATAGACCAATCTTCCCTAAGCGTCTGTACACGGTCTGCCTTGAAATTGTCGTACCAGTGGCTGAAGAGAGCTGACGAGACAGGTCTGAGGCTGTGCTCCGCCTGTTTCTTTTGGCAGTAACTGTCAAATGCCGGTCCTCATTCGGCGTTGTAACTCTGGGGCGACCTGTGCTGTAACGTCTACTCACATTACCATCCTCTTGGATTCGTTGCCAAAGCCTGGAGATGACACTCTGGGCAATTCCAAGTTCGTCTGATACTTCCAGTTGGGTCCACATTCCAGACGCCCGATAATTCTACCACGTAAAAAGTCATCCAAATGCGTCCTTTGGGTCATAACTATTCGGTTATTGCACTGAAATGCTTATAAAGCGCCTGCGAACAATTTTACTTCTTTGCCTGTATTCCTTATATATCACTCTCTTACACTCTCGTCATTGTGACGTACCATCGGTGTCATCTGGTTACTTCCTGAAATTTGCATATAATTTTTGAAGATGTGTGTAGTGATTTTACAGGTGATGTATTTATTTTAGAGTTCGATTTCCGCGTGACTCCGAATTATCCTTAATTTTTGGACATGAGTGTAGTTTGAGCGCACTTGTACAGTCTTTTAGAGACAGGAAACTGACGAAATGCACCATACCCTCGCCGGGATTCGAAATTGCACAAAATAAGCCGCACCTGTTCGAATGATTACTCTTTGGTGTCTTATATAAGTAAGATAAAATTTTTAATTAAAAATGTTCAATGATGCTTAATTTTTTTAATTTGATGATTTTTTTGGGGGGTCCTAAAAATGTTGGCAAATTTATGATTTATATTTCTCATATACTTCATTTAATAATGCCAGTTGTCCTTTATATCAAGAAGAAAAGGCGAGATTTGCCTGTCTTATCTAATTCTGCTGTTATCTCTAATCTAGTAGCATGCATACTATAGCTTTAATGAGCAACATAAAGTATCAATAGAATACAATCTGTGTAGAAAAATATAGCAAATCTTCATTTCATATTCCTAGGCCTTTGAATTTAAATTTATTTAAATGCCATAAACATACCCTTTATTGAAAAAATTAACTTGGAATCTTTCCATTCAGCTTTTGCTATTGCACTGAATCGCTCTAAACCCAGATTTCGCAGGATAAATATGTAACTTTAAAAGCCATATATTTTTAAGTAATAGGTGCACATTTCTCGTTGTAATTGAAGTGTATTTGCTTGCTAGCTCTGCATAACATAGAGATAGAACGAGCTATGAAGTCTGAAGCACGGATTTACATCTTTGTATCATACTTCATTGTGTGCACCACGGTGAATATGCTAAACGGGGATTTAGGACTGAATTGCATATAAGTTTCGTGCGTATCTCAAAAGTAATTTTTCAAAATTCGATTCATATTGCTTTTATTTAAAGAAGTGATTCTAACATATTTTTCGTACGTATTTTCTCTTAACTATTTAAAGAATCATCGCAGAATTGCAATCATTACACCGTTGGACTTTGATCATTTCGGTAATCATATTCAATTTCCATTCTCCTGTCTTCCATCTTCTTATGATTTAATATCGAAGGATCTCCGGCTGTGGTTTATGTTAAATCCCAATAGTTACTGTTTTATAAGTACATGAAATACTATTCCAATTTAATGCATTATGGCCACTATTGTCTTTGCTGTTATCAGTCAGCAATCCATTTATACCTATGGTAATAAAGTCTCTTCTGAACTATGGACGGATTGCCTGCACATTTATTTATGCAACTCTTATATTTTCCTGATATACCTCATTTCAGCTTCAATACCTAATTCAATAATAGAGCAGGCTAATCCATTTTGCAAATCGATTTAGTCTTATTAATAGTGCCTTCTCTAGCTATGATATCTACCATTCTATCTATTCTCCATACCATGGCAGATATATCTAGCATGGTCTTAGAGAACGATAACGTTATCACTTATATCGTAATACATTTTAATTCGCTAATAGGCGATATTTCATTGGCTGTGTTACATATTTGAAATAACAGAGAAGTGGAGAAAATTATTTAGCCGAGTAATTAAAATTTTTTAGGTCAATGTAGTGCATATTATTTCATTTTTTTTTTTTTTTTTTTTTTTTTTTTACAGTATGGATCTAAAATTCATGTTCCGTCTAATTTCTCGTGCTAGTAGAGCTCACGCAAACTGCACTGCATTTACAACTGCTAAATGAATCTCAGCTAAATTCCTCTTATATATTTTACATATGTCTCTTTGCTGATGTATTTAATAATAACGCTTATCTTATTACCGCCCATCAGTGGGATGGCCAACAAAATCTGAAAGGTTTCAGATTTAAACGATTGCCCAAAAGGGTTTGTTAAGGTTCTTTACGCTGTCCATGAGCTCGCAGTCTACCAGTTTGCTCTTACTCTCACTCCTACTAACCCATTTTTTTCTATTTACCTTTATTAATAAATATCATTTTCTTCACACTTACGCCACATACAATTCAACAGCAAAATTGCAGAAATTTTAAAAGCAGTATGCGTTTAGAATTCACGATGCAGCATTAAATTTTGGCATACACTTTTTTTTTTCTACAAAACTTTCTTTGTCTATTTATTATTAACGTTTTGTGTATTTACCTTGTTTATTAAATATCATGTTCTTGGCGCTTTCTGATTTAACAGCAAAATCACAAAATATTTGAAAACAGCAAAAGAATGCCCGATAGAGAGTCTCGCGCTCTGGAGATAAAAAAAAAAAAAATGTTTTATTCCGTACAGTGATGCCACTGCTCGCCTTGAAGTCGTTGAGATTTTTAATAAAAAATTCATTAAAGTTTTACGAAATATGAAACAGATAATAAAAAAATTCAAAATTCGGGCTTAAAGTGCCCGTATTCCGGTGGAGGAGTACATTATTCAAAATTTGATGGCTGTACGTACCGTTGTTTCTCACAATGTGAGAAATTGCATACATTCATGCAGATTCTTTATTATTTAATTTCTTTAAAGATAATACAGGGCGATAATACCTGGTGGCAACAATTTGAAAAGTGATTCGATGCTTGTAGGGATTCATCACAAATTGCTGTTTCAAGACTAATATCCCATTCAGGACTAATATTCGTTTTGCATTTGGTTTATGAAATAAAAGAAGCATTTATGACCTCACGGTAATCAAAAGTTACGAAACAAAGCTCTATTTAATTGAGGGTATACAACTAAGGGTAACTAAGGCTGAGGTAGATTGCATTTTTATGGGGTTGCACAGCCATAAACTACTGCTCTATTTCATCGCAGCACCACTGGAAATCTCTCCTCAAAATCCCGTTCTAACTTGAATTGTTAGTAAAAAGGGCGATGACATTTCTACGCAACATTCATTTTGCGCTTTTTCTTAAAAGACTGATTACATGTAGTCCTCATTATGGAGAACTGAGCAGTTTGCTGGGGGAAAAAAGAGTACGGTTAAATATCAAAAAACATAAACACAGTATATCATTCGTCGATATTGGTATCTTTCATTATTCGAT